AGCAATCTGTATGAAGGAATGAATAAAAGGTAACGTAAGAGTGCCAAGCTGATGATGTTGAGCGACATGAAAATCAATATCAATATGATTGGTCCTCTGACGGTATATTGAATTGCACATAATTTGAATAGCACTCTTATTGTCACAATACAAAGGAGTAGGTCAATAAAAAATTTCACAAATATGTATAAGCAACCAACATAATCAAATGATCTCATAGGTAGTAGAAGTCATGGCATGATACTCTACTTCTATGAAATATGTAGAAACAATATCTTGTTTTTTCTTTTCCAAGAAATAACATATTCAACAAGAAAGATACAGAAACTAGCGGTAGGCCTGCGATTTGTAAAAGAACTAGCCTAATCAAAATCAAAATATGCTCAAGATCTAAGGGTTAAGTAAATGAAAGTAAGAGACTCTAAAACTGAATGCCCAATGATACCTCAAAATGTGAGCAATAGCAGGCCAATGAACTATAGTAGACAATATAAAATTCTGATTAGCTATATGAAGAGCACACTTAATAATTGGAAAAGTGATGATCAAATAAATCAAGCAGCCAACAATAGTATGATGTAAATTAAGATTCAGCAATGGATAACCATCAGAAGTAAAATACCGAGCATTAAGCTCAAAAGGTGTATCAACAGTCTTATTTCAATAAGATGAGTACAGTCAAATATATCAACCACGTACTTAGACTGAGGAAGAAGATAACTTTTCAGAGATGATTTGATTTCAATACCAAAAAGTAATAGAGTGAACCTAAATCTTTCATTGCAAAACAATAAGTTAACTCTGACTTAAGTGCTGCAATTCCATCATCATCATCAGTAATAATTGTGTCATCAACGTATAAAGAGAGCAAAAAAAAATTGACGAGTGTACATCTATGAAATAAAGCTGAATCATGGCGGCTAGGATGAAAAATAAGTAAAGTAATCAAGGTAGAAAAATTCTCAAATCAAGCTCAAGATACCTATTTGAGGTTGCAGAGGGCTTTCGAAACTTAAAAATTTCACCTGGTTGATAAGAAATACTAGGAGAGGAAACCATGTAAACTTCTTCTTGTAGATCGCCATTTAAGAAGGCATTTTTAACATCAATCTGAGATAAACATCATCAAAGAACAGATGTGATTACAATATAGCGGGAATTTGTAGGAATTTTTGCAACAGGTGTAAATGTTTCCTTATAATCCATACCATACTTCGAAGAGTTCCCCTTACAACCTAAATGGGATTTGTATCGTTCAAGATATGTGTGTGACTTAATTTTTATTTTATAGACCTAATGAAAACCAATTGTTCAGTTTCCCGTTTGTGTATGATATAGTGCAGTAAGTTCCTTAGCCACTGTCTCCTATCAATGTCAGTCACAAACTGTCTCTTTATAGGATAAAAGCAGAAAATGATGATGAACATAAGATGAAAAGAAAACAAAAGAGCTAGAATAACAAAAGTAAGTAAAATCTGTAATTTACTGAACTTATACGTACACATAGGAAAATGATGAGAAGAAGTTGCAGTCTTAAGAAGTAAGAATACAACCATAGGAGGAAAGAGAAAATTGGTGTATTGAGAACCAAAGTATAGTATATGCAGAATTATCAGCAGGAGCCCTGGAAGAATTATAATCTGAAGTAAGAGTAGATGAATATAGAATAAAGGGTGGGATAATAAGGATATCAAGAATGAACGGAACAATGCGAATAAAATCAGACTTAGTCATATTATGAGAACTACGAGGATTAAAAAGAAAGGTATATGTTCAAGAAAACACAACATGATGAGAGATATATAGTTTGTCACTAATTGGATTAAAACAACGACATGCCTATTACCTTGAACTATAACCCAAAAAGATACAAATAGCAGATCTAGAGGACAATTTACCATGCTCGACATGAGGTCGAAGGATAAAATAGGTAGAATCAAAGACATAGAGTGAATAATAATCAGGAACACAACCATACAACTTCTCCAAAAAAAACAAAGGGGAATTTTATGAGATTGGAATCCTCTTCATCAAATGAGCAGCAGTAAGAATTACTTCTTCCCAGAATTCACTAGGAATATAAGCAAAGAATAAAAGAGAACAAGCCGTCTCAAACAAGATATCTTCCTTTCGACAACACCATTCTATTTGAGAGTATCTGCAAAACTATTTTAGTAAATGATTCCATCAAAAGCAAGAAAATCAGGAAAAACATTATAGGTATAATCTCCACTCAAATCAAATAAAAAACATTTGAGGATAGCTCTAAAAATGCTAAAGAAGTCTTAGGAATGTTGCATAAAAAATTCTAACCTTAACGAGTGTATTGTAGGATAATTTAATACTTTAAATCAACAGATCTTTCATGTTAAATCATCAAGAAATTGAAGAACTATAGCGGAAGCGTACCTGAATCAGACATGGTTAATGCAATAATGAATTACGCGGTATAGTCTTCCAAATCTACACGCAGCCTTCTTTTTCTCTCTTTGATGGGATGCAGAAGAGAATGAATAATACGTACGTGTGATCTGGGGACCATAACCTATTTATATAGCGACACCCTTTGACCTAATTCGGTCCATCATAGAATTAGAACTTGGGTCCGGTCTCTACACATTTATAAACCCACACTTTAATTGGATACATTAAAGCCCAAAATCGAAGCCTTATTAGATCACTTTAATTGGGCTCAACCGAATTCAATAGCCTTTAATTTAATACACAATTATTCACACATATAAGCCCATCGATGGATTAAAAATCTTTACAATCTCCCACTTGAACTATATGTGTCATCTTATAATTGTGCATTAAACATAACCTTATGAGTACTCAGAATTTTGCTATCATTACCGAATGTATCCCCAAACAATCCCATCCATCAATCATATCAACATAGGATTAAAGTGACTTTTGCTACTTTTATTGTAGCTAAACCCATCAATGATCACGTATATCGATATAACCGAATGACATGGATCAAGCATGGATGTGTAGCATGGAAATTACATGTGATTTGATTTGTAACATACCTATTTCCAACTGTCCACCTTAATGCTTTAGTGAGATCATTTTAAACAAGTTCAGAGATAATAAACCAAATAACTTTATAACTGAAAATAACTTTAAAAAGCAAAAATATAAACTCCCACTGAAACTAGATATCCTTAGGAGACATTACACCCATCTGAGCAGTGTGCTCATGAAAGACCTTGGGTATCAATCCCTTAGTAAGCGGATCCGCAACCATGGAGTTTATCCCAATATGCTCTATTAACACCTGTCCACTATGAACTCTTTCTTTAACAGCCAGGAACTTGATCTCCATATGTTTTGACTTCGTCGAGCTCCTGTTTTTATTAGAATACAGCACTGCTAATTTATTGTCACAAAATACCTTAAGTGATCTTTCTATATTGTCCACAATGCACAGCCCAGTGACAAAATTACGCAGCCATATTTCATGATTTGATGCCTCATAACACGCTATAAACTCCGCTGCTATGGTGGAAGTAGCTATGAGTGTCTACGTAGCACTCTTCCATGAAATAGCACATCCAGCAAGCAAATAAATATAGGCTGAAGTGGATCTCCTACTATCTTGACATCCCGCGAAATTGGAATCAGAATAACTGATGATCTCCAACTGATCCAATCTCCTGTATGTGAGCATGTAGTCTTTTGTTCTCTATAAATACCACATGACCCGTTTGGCTATTTTTCAATGATCTATTCCCAAGTTATTTAAATATCTCCCTAACATCCCGACAATGTACGCTATACCCGGATGCGTACAAACCTGAGCGTACATCAGACTCCCTATAGTTGAGGAATAAGGAATTTTCTACATTTCTTTAATTTCTAAGTCATTTTTAGGGCACTGACTTAAGCTGGACTTGTCTTCTTTAGCCATAGGGATGTCACCTGGTTTTACAATCTTGCATGCCATATATTTTAAGTACCTTTTCGATATAACTCTTTTGTGATAATCCAAGAGTACCTCGAGAACGATCTCCGTGTATCTGAATTCCTAATACAAAGAGGCATCACAAAGATCTTTCACCTCAAAATTCTTTGCTAGAAATCTCTTGGTTTTGTACAATAAGCCTATATCATTGCTGGCAAGCAATATGTCATCGACATAAAAAACCAGAAAAATATACTTGCTCTCACTGAACTTGTGGTATATACAATCATCGACCAAATTCATTTCAAAACCAAATGAGATGATCACCTGATGAAACTTGTAATACCATTGACGAGATGCCTGTTTGAGTCCATAGATGGATTTCTTTAATTTACAAAACATTTGCTTTGCATCGTCCGATACAAAGTTTTCTGGTTGTGTCATATAAATTGTTTCATCAATGTCACCATTGAGAAACGCTGTCTTAACATCCATCTGATGTAGCTCAAGATCGAAATGCGCTACCAATGCCATTATAGTCCTGAAAGAGTCTTTCGAAGAAACCGGAGAGAAAGTCTCTTTATAATCGATGCCTTCTTTCTGTATAAAGCTCTTTGCGACAAAACAAGCCTTATACCTCTCTACATCACCTTTCGAATCCCTCTTGGTCTTAAATATTCATTTGCAACCAATAGGTTTCGCACCTTCAGGCAATGGAATGAGGTCCCATATGTCGTTGTCCTTCATGGACTTTATCTCTTCATTCATGGCATCGAGCCACTTTTGAGAGTTAGAACTTTCCATGGCTTGACGAAAGTTGATCGGATCATCTTCCACCATTCCAATGTCAACTTCATGTTCTTGGAGAAATACGATGTAATCATCTGAAACCGTAATTCTCCTCTCTTTAGTGGATATTCTTAATGGCATTGGTTTTTGAGGCTGTAGAGTTTGTTCTTCTAGAACAATTTGTTGATCTTGAGAGGGAGGTATGACATTGTCTTGATCTAGAGTTGCTTCTTGAACAATATCAGGGATAGAAACCTGATCATTGTCAATGGCAATTGGAGGAATTTTAACATATTCCTCCTCAAAGACGAAGCCTGTAACCCTTCTCCCCCGCAAACTTAACATCCTCAAATAACCGAGCATTTTCTGTCTCAAAAATTGCCTTAGTTGTGGGATCATAAAACTTGTAACCCTTGGACCTTTAAGAATATCCAATAAAATAGCAACTGATGGTCCTTGTGTCCAATTTCTTTTCATTTGGCTTATTGGGCCTTGCCTCAACTGGACACCCCTAAATATTTATATGCTTCAAACTAGGCTTCTTGCTTGTCCAAAGCTCATATTGGGTTTTATCAGTGGCCTTAGTTGAAACTCTATTGAGTATATAAGCTGCGGTTTTTAATGCTTCGCCCCAGAGAGATTCTGGTAAGGTAGAATGACTAATCATACTCCTCACCATGTCCTTAAGCGTTTTGTTTCGTCTCTCAGCAACACCATTCATAGTGGGCGAACCCGGCATAGTGTACTGTGGGACGATACCACGTTCATCTAGGAATTTAGTAGATGGTCCTGGACGCTGTTCACCTGAACCGTCATATCTTCCATAGTATTCATTCCCATGGTCAGATCTGATGCTTTTAATCTTTTGCTGAGTTGGTTCTCAACTTCAGATTTATAGTTTTTGAACACATCCAGTGACTGTGATTTTTCATGAATGAGATATACGTAGCCATATCTTGAAAAGTTGTCTATGAACATTATAAAATATTGTTGACCATTCCAAGAACCCATAGGAAATGGTCCACAAATATCCGTATGTATAAGTTCTAAGACGTCCGAAATCCTATTGGCTTGAAATCTCCTTTTATTGGTTTGTTTTCCCTTTATACAGTTGACACACAAATCATAATCTACGAAGTCAAGACGGTCGAGAATCCCGTCTGACACAAGTCTCTCAATTCTCCTTTTGGAGATGTGACCTAATCTATTGTGCCACAATGAGGTAGAGTTCTCACCGGTTAATTTTCGCTTTACACCTTGAGTACTCACATGCAACCCTGCATAGACATACTGATGTGAGTTGTTGCACCAGAATCTATCCATCATGTATGTCTAGGTACCGAAGTTAAATTAACCTCAGAACAAACCAAATGAAGAAGAATACCTTTCTTTACACGCCATGCCTGGTAATTGGTGCAATTCTTCTTCTTATGACCTGCAGCTCCACAGAAGAAACAACTATCTTCAGTCGGTTCCTTATGCTGTTTCTTTTGCAGTGCCATACCCGCAGCTTCCTTATTAATCTTCCTTTTCTTGTTCCTTTTGTCCTTAGAGGTGGTGGCCAAATTAGTACTTTCTCTCTTCTCATACTTCAGTCTTTCCTCTTCCTGGACACAGTGTGAGATGAGCTCATTAAGGGACCATGAGTCCTTTTGACAGTTATAGCTCACCTTGAATTGACTGAAATGTGCCGGAAGGGATATCATAACCAAGTGAACTAACAAGTCTTCAGATAAATCCAAGTTAAGTGCCTTTAGTTTTGAAGCAATGTAAGACATTTCCATAATGTACTCTCGAATGTTTACTTTCCCTTTATACCTCATTGAGATAATGTTCGCCAAAAGTTTACTTATTTCAGCTTTTTTATTCTTGGCAAACCTCTTCTCAAGATTCTCAAGGAAACCCTTAGTCGTAGTCACCTTATCAGACATAGTGCTCCGGAATGTTTCTGGAATAGCACGCTTCATGACCATTAAGCTTATGCGGTTCGATTGTTCCCACTTTTTCTTCTCTCTTTTGTCATCAGAGGTACTCTTATCAGTAAGTACAGCAAGTTGATCGACCCATAAAGCAAGGTCCAGATCCATGACTCCGAGAACAATCATCACGTTCTTTTGCCACGCCCTGAAGTTTGTGCCATTGAACATTGGAATTGAATTGATGCTAGCAGAGATATTAGCAGCAGAACCTGAAACTGAATTAGAGAACGTTGATTATGAATAGCTCACATGAATATCTTTAATATGCAAATAATAATAATCTCAAATAGTGGTAGGGCCCATCACAAGATACCAAGCACAACATCAAAATCTGATCTTTGGACAAAAATATTGACTTGTAAGCGGCACTCTTGGCGTAGTGATCAAACATTGACAATAAAACAATGTGTCAATCAATAAATCTTTCTTTGGATCGATTTATTGATCACACATTAAACCAAATAATCGTCACATGTTTATCACCACAGGTACACGTGTATTCGGCTAAATATTGACCTTCCGACCTTCCTTTGGGCCGATCAATATTCTCATGTATAACACATGTACAAACACCTTTTAATATTCTAAGTTAGTCAATTTTCACAAGAGAGGTTGCTTTGGCAACATGTTGCTTCAATTAACCAAATTTCGAATATTATATCTCTTAAAAGAGTTCTTAGTACCAAAATTTGAAAAAGAGAGTCACCAATTTTGTATATTTTGATTAGTTTTAAACTTTAAGGGCCTTAGGATTAATAATTCAAAACTTTAAGGGGAAAAATTAATTAATTCCAAACATTAGGGGCTGAAATTAATAAACTTGAAACTTTAGAGACCGTAATTAATTAATTCAATACTTTAGAGGATCAAATAGAACAAATTTTAAAACTTTAGGGGCCAAAATTGACCAATTCAAAACTTTAGGGATCAAATTTTGAAAATTTGAAACTTTAGGGGTCAATTTGAATTAATTATAAACTTTGGGGGCCTATTTGAATTAATAATTAAAGTTTGAGGGCTTTAATTATAAAATTCAGAACTTTAATGGCTTGAATTAATTAATTTTAAAACCTTAAGGACTGAATTATTAAATCCAAAACTTAAAGGCCCAAACCTGAATATAACTTAAATGTCAGGGACTGAAACCTTAATTTTATAACCCTAACCCTAATTGCAAGTAGGGGCCTCAAATTATCTAATTTACAAAAGATGCCCCTGCCCTCAAATCTGGCATAAACTGAAACTAAACCCTAACAAAAAATTTCTTCTTCTCTTTTCTAGTAGCGGCGCTGGAGTAACGGCGCCGGCATGAGTCGGCGCTTGTAGTAGCAGCGCTCGCGCTGCGACAGTGCAGTAGCGGGCACTGTTGCACCCAGTAGAGCCTCACGGCGTTGCCTGTCAACGGCGCTGGGCGCTGCTACGCGGTATAATCTTCCAAATCTACACGCAGCCTCATTTTTCTCTTTGTGATGGGATGCAGAAGAGAATGAATAATACGTACGTGTGATCTGGGGACCATAACCTAATTATATAACGACGCCCTTTGACCTAATTCGGCCCATCATAAGTTAGGACTTGGGTCCGGTGTCTACACATTTATAAACCCACACTTTAATTGGATACATTAAAACCCAAAATCGAAGCCTTATTAGATCACTTTAATTGGGTTCAATCGAATTCAATAGCCTTTAATTTAGCACACAATTATTCACACATATAAGCCCATCGATGGATTAAAAATCCTTACATGTATATCTCAATAAAAGAAAACATAATATTGTGAATGGGATACTTTTAAATTTAACCTAGTCAGATCACCAAAATTCCACATTGACTTTCAAAACATAAATATTATTACGTTGGCCTCTTGAACGTTTAAAGACAAAAATACCCTTAATTATATTATACAATTACAAAACTTTATTTTGTTTAAAAGACTTTATTACTCTTTTAGCTAATAATTGAAAATCAAATAATTTCCACTTAAAATTTCAAAACCAACTTCTAACACAAAAAAAGAACTCTCATCTTTCATATGCTTCAACCCCAAAATCTCATAAAAAAATTCGAACACTGAAATCAATTTTTTTATATCAATCACTGCAGATCAGTAAGTATATTTACGTATATTTAATTTCATTTTTGGTAAATTAGTCTATGTTTTAATCGATAAATTTTATTTTAATATAGATTAGTTAATGCAGATAAAATTTTTTAATAGATCTATAATTTCTTAGAACTATGCAAGAAAACAATTCATCTACATCTTTCAAACAGACGTTTAAACAGTCCGCTGACCCTTTAAACAGCCAGCCAACTGTTTTTCGATTGTTAAATAGCCGGCTGTTTTAACAGATAACTGTTTAACAGCGGACTATTTTTAGACCGTTTCGACTGTTTTGATGTCAATTTTTTTAATAATTTTATTGCAACAGATTTTTTCTTACAATTAATAATTTTAGTTATTAAATAAACAAATTTCTGAATCTTTTTTGTTGTAATTAATTTAAAATTCTGTTTCGTCATGTAGATATGACTATAATGTCGGTTTGTTACTTTGGTGATTTTGAATTAAATGAAAATAATCGATGAATATGAAGATGAACGAGTGATATACGTGGTGGTATTCTGTTACGTGTTGACATGTATGGCCGACCCACCAATGCCGAATTATGTGGCATGGTTACCAACGCCCCCTAGGAATGGTGAATTCCTAACATCCAGAAGCAACAACTGTGACGTGGCTCAAATGTTGGAAGGTTGAAGTGTAATGGCTGAGGTGGTCCATATCGAGGCCCAAGATGCCGAAGCCGAACTCCAGAACATCTTTGGCATCACTCCACCTCAGAGATCCGATCTTACACAATAATCTTCCTTGAATGATTGATGGGACACCCATCATAGAGTACAAGTGTCTTGTTTTGTCAAATATAGCGGTGACTTTGCCAATTAATAAATGTATAGCAGGCTAGGTAGTCAAACATGATACCTAGAATTAGACATGTAAACCAACAAGATGAGGCCATGTGTACTCCCAACCGAGGGTCACTATTCAACTTGTACTACTATAAATACTCCTCCATGTAAAGACTAATGCAAGATTCAATACAAGAACAATTAATATATATTTCACTCTTTTGCAATACATACGAGTTTACATACATATTCACCAACCGTGATTGGCAATTATTGTACAATCGTTATATAAATGTCTCGTCGAGTTCTGAACGTTGTTATCTCGCGCCTTTGAGCAGCTCCCATGGTATTTTTCAAATCTAATCAGACCGTCCAAGTGTTTTAGCGTGTTGGACTAGGCTTGCGTGAGTGCGGATGGATTCGATATCTGTTGTCCGACCAGAAATTATTTTAAGTTTTTCTTCATGGTTCTTGGACAATGCTAAAAAAATTCAATAGACAATGTTAACATAAATTTTATAATTATTTCCTAATTACAAAAGAAATTAAATGTACAATGTGTACATAAATATTTTACAATATTTATAATTATTTCATAAATAAAAAATGAACAATATTTATGAATTACAATTAAAATCATATATAGGGGCCAGAAGAAGGACTAGCGTAGATTATCAACGTGTTGATCATCCAGCTGCTCCAATACGGTATTGAAACTGTCAAAGTTTTTGTTCCAAGTAGCTTTTCAAGCCATCCGTCACAACTCCATGTCTAGATGGTTATCCATCCTGCAAAAATTTGAATATTAGAACATTTTACAAGAAATAATGGAATAAAGCATAACAACGAAAAATTGAGCGAATCAAATTATAACTATTGTACGGAAGACGTAGATTCATTTTACATCGATGCTAATAAAAAAATGAATTATCTAATTTTTGCAATTTTAATAGAATAATATTTATATTCTTTATCTAATTTTTATAATTTCATTTTCTTTAAATTTTTTAATATATAATCTAGTTAAGAATTTTAAATTGATAATTACCAAAATTAAATGTTCGTTTTAACCAAATTAGTAAAATATTTTTTCCTTTTAATTTTTTTTACCAAAATTAAATATTTCTTTTATTAAATTACCAAAATTAAAGAAATCTTCAAATTTTGCAATTTTAATTGAATAATATTTATATTCTTTATCTAATTTTTATAATTTCATTTTCTTTAAAATTTTTTATATACAATCTAATTAAGAATTTTAAATTGATAATTACCAAAAAAAATTTATATATAAAAATTATTCAATTCAAATTGAAAAAAATTGAAGACTATTTTAATTTTGGCAATTTCATCAAAGGAATATTTAATTTTGGTTAAAAAAATGAAAGGAAAAAAATATATTTCTAATTTTGTTAAAAGAAATATTTAATTTCGGTAATTATCAATTTAAAATTCTTAATTAGATTACATATATTAAAAATCTAAAGAAAATCAAATTATAAAAATTAAATAAAGGATATAAATATTATTCAATTGAAAATGAAAAAAAAATTGAAGAATTCTTTAATTTGGGTAATTTAATAAAAGGAATATTTAGTTTTGGTTAAAAAAAATATTTTGGTTAAAAGGAATATTTAATTTTGGTAATTATCAATTTAAAATTCCTAATTAGATTATGTATAAAAAAAATTTAAAGAAAATGAAATTATAAAAATTAAATAAAGAAGATAAATATTATTCAATTAAAATTGCAAAAATTGAAGATTTCTTTAATTTTGGTAATTTAATAAAAGGAATATTTAATTTTGGTAAAAAAAGTAAAAGGAAAAATATTTTGCTAATTTGGTTAAAAGGAACATTTAATTTTGGTAATTATCAATTTAAAATTCTTAACTAAATTATATATTAAAAATTTAAAGAAAATGAAATTATAAAAATTAGATAAAGATTATAAATATTGTTGAATTAAAATTGCAAAAATTGAAGATTTCTTTAATTTTTCTAATTTAATAAAAGAAATATTTAATTTTGGTAAAAAAATTAAAAGGAAAAAATTATTTTGCTAATTTGGTTAAAATGAATTTTTAATTTTGGTAATTACCAATTTAAAATTCTTAACTAGATTATTTATTAGAAAATTTAAAGAAAATGAAATTATATAAATTAGATAAAGAATATAAATATTATTCAAT